GTTTAATCTATTATTTCAAAAGACATTTTTTGATAAATATCTTTTGGCAAACATATAGTTCGATTGCTCGACATATGTAGATATTCCACACACGTCAAGTTCACATGTGTGGAGTATTGCCTTATTCCACATACTGATCGCCGGCCTTGCGCGCGTCCGCGTTAATCCAGTTTATTTCCTACATTCGGTTCGTCGGTTTTAATTCGTTCTGCTCGAACGTACATATAATATCTCCGCGCGCGCGCGCGCGCGTTTCAAGATAATTTATAAAACGAACGGGAAGAGAGAAGAAGAGTGAACTTTAGCTTCGCGACGTGCGTAAGGTCATCGTGGCCTTTCCGCTCTTGACACGCGCGGTGATCGAAAGAAAACAGCGACACGTGATGCCGCTGATGATATTTGTGGTAGGTATGCGAGAAAAAAATAATTAACATTGTCACTTAAAATATCAAACCAAGCTGAACTCTGTATAAAGTTTATAGAGATTGAACTTAAGCGCGAAACTAACGTAGGAGTTCATAATCGATTCGTCCGAGTGGGGATTCGCTCGCTCCCGCTGTAAATTTTCATATAGAGCAGCCTGTTTCGTTTTTGGACGGACATCCGACGTGTTTCCCGACCGCGACTGCAAGCCTATATCTTGGAGGCAATACGCCTTTCTCCGCGCTACTCGCTTTCTGACGTTCCGACACGCCGCTATTTCCGATATTCAATTGCCGACGTTTACACGCCACGGCAGACTTCCTCATCCCACACTTGGCCTTCCCCACCCATCCGCGTGTCGGAATCAACTATACACGACTAGCGATTCCAGTTTCCCGCGCAAATCCCTCTTACGTGCCCTTTTGATACCCTCGCGCCGCATTGTTTCCTCGCACGCAAAATGCTTTATTGCGCGCGCGGTAGGTCTGCAAAGAGAGAGAGAGAGAGAGAGAGAAAGAGAGAGAGAGAGAGAGAGAGAGAGAGAGAGAGAGAGAGAGAGAATTACTGGTGTAATAACAGGTTCGCAAGTTTATCTTGAAAAGGATCACGATGCTAATTCAGTTATGGAAAAGACGCTTCCCGCTTGTGTACACAACCGCTCGAAAGTGGTTTTTAAAAAATTACCGATTTGCAAAATTGACGTTGAATTGATGTTCTATGTGTCTTGTCAATCGACATCTCTCGTGCAAGACATATCTGTTTTGTGCACGTGTTACCATCTTACGGTTTCTTTAAATCGTGTTTCTCGCGAGAAACTACATTGCGCCGAAAGTCATCACGATTCAAGTCTTCGTGCTGGTTCACTCAACTGTGCGAGTTTCCAGCGGTTTCCACCTGCAACGCCTGTACAACTGCTCGTTCGACTATTTCGTGCGGCGCGCGAGAGCATCGTGAATTACTCTTCTCCCCGAACGCCACTGACTTACATCGAAAGTTCCCTATCTGCACTTAAATAGCTCGCACTGATGTCAGATACGGTCAAACTCTCGAAGAACTGCCACTCGAACGATTGGTTGCGTATCTGTGTCGGAAAACGCACACGTACATGACGTTTGAATTATGCGAAAACTGTCGTATCTTTTCGCAGTAATGACGCGAACAATATCTTTATTTTGTATCGCGCGACGCAGAGACAATTAAAAATCTCGTTACGTAATAAAAATGTTTGTCTACTTTTTTTCACGACTCGCACGTGTGTGATTGTATATAAATATATAAAATATATACGTACGTATCTATGTGTATACAGAGTGCTTCAGAAATAAATGGCCAAACTTTGGTATCGTATTCTACTCTCCCTAAGGATAAAAAAAAAAAATCATATAAGCAGAAGAAGTTCGGAAACTCTTCCTTTTCGAGATATGCCACGCTTTTTGTTTGCGAGGAAATATTTTAGAAATGCTTACAACTCACTTAAGGAAATTGCTGAGAAAATAGTTTCCTTCTGCAACAATACGACGTTTCGGGAACTGTGAAAAACGTCCAAAAAGTCCTGAAGTATTTCGAATTCTGTCACAGTTTATACCTCGGAAACGAGGATTTTCCGAACTTATGTTTATACGATCTTTTTTCATCCTTACTGAAAGAATAGAAAACGATAAAATGGCCAAAAACCACTTTATTTCTGAAGCACCCTGTATATCACCGATAAATAAAATATATTTAATAACACACAACACAACACACACACACACACACAGACAGACACACGCAACATGTAGTTATTTATAACTTTTCTTTTCATCTTCCTTTAGCAAAGTATTGATCTAAAATAATGATTTTGCCTTTCCCCTGTTAACGTCCGGGAAATTGATATTTATTGCAACAAGCTTGGCATTTTATCTTTCTCTTCTTCGCTTGCTGTTACAGAACCGCCACAGAAGCCAAACATTATCGACGAACAAGGTAGTCCCGTCGGATCAGTCGCCGGCCCTTACGAAGAAGGCGGTGACATGAGACTGCAGTGCCTCGTCTCTGGGGGTAAGTCCTACTTTCAGTAATGAGAGAAAGAGATAGACAGAGAGACACACAGAGAGAGAGAGAGAGAGAGAGAGAGAGAGAGAGAGAGAGAGAGAGAGGTCGAATGAAAATAATACATCCGTGAGTATATTCTCTTTCGGAGAAAACGGCCTCGTAAATACGGCCGCGAAAAAGCTGGGCGGAATAATTGGTACGACCGGTGGGAAACGGATTTCTCTGCTTTTCCCTCTCTTTCTCTTTCTCTCTCTCTTTCACTTGCAACGTTCTCTTGCATGTAAAACAGCCCGCGATCCGCGTTTATGCCCGGAGACCGGGATAGAACCCCCGGTATTATTCTTAGTTATAGCGCCTAATTAAAACTTCACATGACCGCATTCTGATGTCGCGGATAAAGAACATTCTTTTTCCGAGCTGCGACATCATAGCCCCGCAAAGTTTTTTCTTTTTCCGCTTCAAATCCAACGTGACCTTCTCGCTGCTGCAGTTTGTATCGCGCGAGACAATCTCTCTTTTTCTCTGTGACAGCCTTACTCTGTTGCAAAAACATCAATCCTGAACCGCGTTAAACGCGCGATACATATAATCCGAATATTATCTTGCTACAAGATTTTACGGGATTTTTCTTTTATGTGTATATATGTATATATATATATATATATATACACATATATCATTCACACATCCTTCGCGTGTACATACAGAAATTAAAAGAGCTTCCTCGTGTTTCCCCGGATCGTTAAACGCCTCGAACAAAGCGTCGGGTGTTTTTAGCGACTGCACGTCACGTGGAGTGTACATTCTCGTTCGACGCTCCCTTTTATTCTATTACATTTTAATATCCGGACGGACACGCTGCTGTCGGCAAGGCGAAGGCAATAACGATAATAAATTTATTTTTATTACCTCGCATGCCGCCACCCGAGGGACCCAGAGAAACTATACCCGCGCCGCTCTCTTATACACTCTCTTCACCGCCGCCTACAATTCCGCTCTTCTCAACCCCTCCCGGGGTGCAAGCCATCTACCGGCGTCGTTCCCCCCGCCGCGTGTTTTTCTGCTTGTCCCTCCTGAACGAAAATAGGTCCGGTAAAAAATAATGAGGTCGCCCCGACACAAGCTAGACCGCTACCTCCCGACTCGCCGCCTCTCTTTAACGGGATATTCAACCCTCGGGGGATTATCCGCACGCAACGACCATTATGAATTATGAATTAACGCGCACCGCGAAGAGAGCCTATATACCGATGTGGCAAAGCGAAAGGGAGGGGGGGGACAAGAGAGAAAGAAAGAGAAAGAGAGAGTACACGTATATGCGCGGAACTCGGTAAACGCTCTTGCGGAGAAGTGGTATAAGATAGGGAGAGAAACACGCGCGCGATATATTGCACGGATAGTGTTACCGATATACCGATACCGTTGGAGTAGTATCGCGAATAGTTTTTTCTAACGGGGCGGAAAATGTGTCGATACATAAGCTCGTTCTCGAGACAGTGTAAAGCAAAAGGTTGAATAATATATGCAGAGCTTCGTACTTTGCTTCTACATTTGCAGAAAAAAAAAACAATTTATTCGTTCTTTTTTTTTTTTTTTTTCACGCGAAGTTGTGCCGACAAATTAATGATATTCCTCAAAACAGCCCGAAAGTAGATGTAAATATATTTATTTTGTATTAAAAAAAATAAAAAGAGACGAAAATGTCACAAAATAAATTAATTATCTAATTGCAATGTGTTTATTCAGAATCCAAATGGAAAAATAGTATTTTAAATGAAACGCACGTATCTTGTGTTAATTAACATTATTACTGACATGCGCTCGCGCGAGCGTGCGCGTTTATTGAAGAACAGATTGAAAAAAATACGCGCGAAGGGGTGAAAATATAATATTACTTACCTCTGCCGTTATATCGCGTACTTTAAATATTATTAAAATTCCACCACACGACGAGTGTGTATTTTAGACCCGTCTGAAAAAATATTCGATGATATTTTTGCTCGCATAGGAAATCTTTTTTTTTTTTTTTTTTCGACTGTTTCTCTCGCGTATTTCGCTTGTGTGAGAAAAACTGTCGCAACTTCTGTTTGCAGGTCGCCCCGAGCCTACGGTGAGATGGTGGCGCGGACAGATGCTCTTGGACTCGAAAGACGAGAAATCGAGCGAGTTCCCAAATCTGCGCAGAAACACATTGGTCGTCAAAGAATTAACCAGAGCGGATCTTCACGCCGTGTTCGAGTGTCAAGCGAACAACAACAACATCAGTCTGCCCGTATCGACGTCGGTAGCGATCGAGATGTATCGTAAGTATTTTTTCTCGCAAATTTCGCGCAATTTCTCTCAACCAATGCGACCTTCATCGTGCGAAAAATTAAAAGTCATTTACCGCAATTGTATTTTAGCGCAAAGTCTACACCCAAGTTTTTGACGCGTGTGATTTTTTTTGTCTTTTTGTTTACGTCGAATCGATAAAACAGACAGATCTATTTTGCGAAATTGTGTATTTTGTTGATTCGCAAAAATATTGAAAACAAGAAAAAAGTAAGTGCCTCCTTACGTGATTTTACGCGTGAAGCTTAAGAGGCGGCAGATAACTGAAACTCTCTCATGAAGCTCCGTAGTTTCGTTGTTGCGCCGTAGTTACAAAGTGTACCACACCGCCTGCGGTCTCTCAGGAGGATAAATCCAAAGGGTACAATCGATCCGTCCGCCCGTTCGCCCGTCCGCCCGCTTGCTCGCTCGCTCGCTCGCCACCGTTTCCTACTCTGTGAATCGGCGCAAAAGGAATGCATTTGCGAATCGGACCAAAGGGAAAATCTGCGTTGTCGAGTAAACGAAGCTGAATACCGAAACGGGAAAGTATTTAACTCAGCTCGAGCTTCGGCACCGCGCGCAATTCCGTTTATTCCGCAGCCACGTGTTTCGCGATTTCTTCTTTCTCTCTGAGGTTTCTATGCGCCTCTTACTTTAAAACGCGAGAAACGTTACATAATGCACAGCGTGAATTTTTCTTTTTTTATGCTAATCGCGAAACATCAAGCAGAAAATTTAAATTATTTCGAACCGCACACACGCGCACGCGCGCGCTCGATATTCTTTTATTTATTTTTTTTTTTTTTTTGATATATGTATTTACTTTTCAGTCTCTCTGTGTGTGACCCAAATTGTTCAATCTCCGCGGTAGGACACGCAATTGATCTGTCGACAGAATAACAAACCGTGCCCTTGTATCGCCAATATTTATAACAAATATCGCAATTCCGACGAAATAGCCTATCCGAGCACGTCGTTCGACGACGCAATTTGTCTGGGAAGTTATTCCGGGACGAGTAAAACATATTACGTTTTCGCGAAATATGGCGAAAGAAAGAAGGGAAGGAAGAACAAAAAAAAGGGGGGAAGGAAAGCGGAGGGAAAGCAAGCGCGATGGGAAAAGCGCGAGGCAAAATAAAATCGAAGGGTGACGCTACCGAAGAAGAGGAACCGAAACGCATAATGTTTTCCGATAGAGCCGACGGCGATGTTGAGAGGAGGAGGAGGAACTGCTGCTGCGAGAGCTCTCGATTTCGGTAGCTCTCGGATTTTTATTAAATTCCAGGAGATTTCGGTTCATCCAAGATCGCGCAGAAAGTCATCGCGGTTGCTTTAGCTTCCACTCTCGCGCGTCTGTCCGTGAGTCGCCTGTGCGACAGGAGTTCACTCGAACTTGAGCTCGCACACCCCATTTTCGCCGATGCTCATCGACGAAGCGTCTCTCCTCGGTCTTATTATCTTCTCAGAATCGGATATTTTATTCAGTTTTTTGCGCGTCTATCGGCGATGTTTTCAGTCCAGAGGACGGCTGCTAACGTCTCTCGCAAAGAGGATTATTATACTTTTAGTAGAAAAATTTCACGTTAAAAACACGCGGACGCGAAGAGAGAGAGAACACGTTTAGAAAATCGATATATCGTCGTATTTTTCGCAATATCAATATACGGAGAAGAGAATTCTGAAGAAACGTTTACAACAATTCAGAGAAAGAAATAAATTATCAAAATGCAAAATGTCAAAATACGATCCGACATTGAAGGTGACAAAAAAAAAAAAAAACAGCGCGATATGTTCCACTTTTTTCGCAGAAGTGGAATATTTGCGTTGACACGCGTTCGCGCGTGGATGTGTGTGTGTGTGTGTGTGTGTGTGTGTGTGTGTGTGTGTGTGTGTGTGTGTGTGTGCATGTGCACGCCATATATGACAACAACGGTAATAAAAACGTCAATAGGCACTCACTTTTGGCGAAGTGATAATACGCGTGCTTCTGTGAGAAAAAAAAGCACGATTTTCATCGAGGTGTGGAATTTACGAGAGGAGGCGAAGTCGACGGACATCTATTTCGTTCGGCAAAATTATCGAAAATCCATCCTTCTTTTTGTTTGCTCCGAAAAGCGTCCTTCGCTTTTCCCTCCACCACTCCCCCCCCTTCTTTTTTTTTATTGGGCACGTGCACTTAACGGCGTACGTACGTACAACTGCAACCAACGATGAGCAAGAGCGAGTGGTTTTGGAACGAGTACATATATATATATATATATATTGGTAAAGCGCGTCAATTATTATCCTTTCGCGCACAGACAAACATTTGAAAATCACTCACGCGCTCCGTGCGACACGGTCGGTTCGATTAAACTCTCTCGGCGACCTAATTTTCATAACACGCGCGCATCCGCGCGTGTCGCGAGCAACGCCGTTGCAATTCCGCTTTCACGTCGGGGATATAGGTATATTCGAGTAATGGCGCGTAATGCGTCCATTACGCGGGCGGTGTGCGTCTTCCGCGAAAACGATACCTATTCCGCGAACGCGGATTTTTATCGTCTCCGCGCATACTTGGCGTCGCGCCAACCAACGCGCCGGCAAATGAATGACGAACGACGGGCCTGTGGCGTGGTCGATAAGACGTCGGTCGGACATTTTCATTCTTTTTGGCTCGATCGCGAAAATAGGTGTAAAATATCAACGGCGATACTCGTCGCCGTTACGTTCATACGTTCTTATCCGCGTGTTGCGGATATTGGTGATCGATCGACACACTGAAGGGGGGTCGATCCGTATCGTTAGGTGTCGGTGCAAATTGTTGCATACCGTGTTTTAGTGGTGATTACAATAAATCGCGTACGAGCACTTCGCTTCCTACTACCGGAGTCGCTTTTATCGCTTGCTACTCCAGTGTGTGTGTGTGTGTGTGTGTGTGTGTGTGTGTGTGTGTGTGCGAGCTTCCCTTCCTTTTCGCCATAAAAGCTCGACGTATATACTCGTACCTTTCGCCGTATCGCCCCCACGGCCGATGTGATGCATGCCTGTCGTAAAAATGTAAAGATACGGTGTTAAAAAAAAAAAAAAAAAACAACGCGAGGAGGACACGGACGCACTTTTTTTTAGCGACGCACGCGCGCCTTATGTGGCTCTCGCGCGCATAATTGCAAGCCGTTATCATCAACCCGTCTAAAAGTTAGCGAAGTAAAGCGGATTTTGCATTCAATTATTTTTAATTGGGCGAAGGGGAGTTCACGACCGACGACGGCGTCCCGCTGCAACGCGCGCGCTCGTGAAAAACTGCGATACACACACACGCGCGCGCGAGCGTCAAGTTATAGGTATCTCGCGCGCGCGCGCGCGCGCGCGTGCGGCCATTAAGCAGAAAACGGCAGTTTCGAGCTCTTATCGATCTCGAGGAAATCGCACGAGAGAGAGAGAGGAGAGAGAGAGAGAAAGAAAAGATTACGAGAGAAGAATTGCGAACGGTAATTGCGCGACTTCGCTCCGCGCGCTCGAGAATTGAAGTGAAGAAAACGAGAAACGTCCCGCTCGTACGTAATCCTCACGGCAAAATTTCGCTGATCGCGCGTAGAGTATAATTCGCGTTTACGTCAGCGATGCGTAAGTAAAACACACTCGATGTGTCGTAACTTAAATATTTGCACGATCAACACGATTACCTAACAACAGTTTTACTCTCGCGCGCGAATAATTTTCTGCCTAAATTATCACGTACCGTTCCGAAATGAGAGGCACAACACGCGCGATGTCTTTCTCTCTCTTTCTCTCTCTCTCTCTCTGTCTCTCTCGCATGTGGCCTCTTCCTTCCCTCCCGCGTCCACCAAAAATACACGCTGGACATAATACATAATTCACCGCTGTCGCGATTTAACCCGTCCGATATGCAAATAAGTCCTCGGACCAATTCCGCAAAAGGGAGAGAAACGCGAAACGAACATAATTATCCGGGCCGCGCCATTACCCGGTCTATCGGCTTTAATTTCCGCTTTACGTTTCGCCGAATAACGCAGGAAATAAGCGGCGCAACCGCCGCGCCCGCCGCGCCGCGTGTACACCTCGCCATCACCCCTCGGTAAACGGCGCGCGGGGAGAGAGGTATGGTGTACATACCTATCTCTCAGGTATTATACTCACGGGCATCACTCGCATAGGCATTACGCCACTCTACGAGTTTTATTGCTCGGTGCTAAAGCCCTCGCTCGTTCTCTTTCGACGTGAGGCAGAGGCAGAGCGAGACAGCGAAAGATAGATAGAGAGAGAGAGAGAGAGAGAGA